GGTCAGCTCTGTACTCCCTTCAGAATCCGTTCAAACCGCTAACCTAAGGTGCCTTGTTTTTATTGCTATTTAATTTGTGTCAGACAAATGCAGTTAAGAGCATATCCCCTTATTTTTCTTTTTGGCTAAGGGGTAGCCTGCATTCCCCAAGCACCAAGCAGAGCTCACGGTTCTAGAGAGATTCGCCTGTCAGCACAAGACACATTTGTACATGAGCTAACATCAGAGGCAATAACAGTGGGCAGGACTCAGGCAGCTGCCCTCACACCCTCTTTAATATCTGTACTACAAACCAGTGCCCAAAGAATTCACACACCAGACATCAAAACACTGAGAATAGCACAGGAAGAAGGCAACGGGGAGCCGACTTCTCTCTGGGATTTGCCTGTTTGATCACTAGAGAGATGTCAGGGCTGGGCATTGAACACTTTCTATTTCCATCCTTTAGTATCGTAACAGGTTTAGAATAAAAACCATCTTCCCTGATTTAACTTAAAACAAGATAAAAGAAACAGGAAAAAAAATCAGCAAGAGCTGTTTCATTGCAAATGTGGAATCTGCAGGTGAGGAAAACCAGCAAGAATTAAAATCTGTGGAGTTATTTCAGTACCAGCCTGTGCTCGAGCAAAGCCCGTATCCAAACCCAGCCAAGGCTGGGCAGTCTGTGCTATGGGAACCCCTGCCTACAACTGGCACCGACACCAGTTGCTGACAGGTGTTTGAGGGACGCAGATTATCACAGGTAACATCACACCTCATGCACCAGAATCAACATTTTGTGTTAGTTCAGCTCCCTGTGAACAGAGTCTGAGGCTGCCTTTCCTCTTGCCCTCTCTCTCTTCCCACCCCACACGCTGCTGCTCCCCCTTAGGCATTGGGAAAGGGCTGGAGCTTGTAAAGAGCTTCAGGCTGAGGCTGAAGCATGACATGAGGGTCACTGTCCTAGAACCTGAGAAAAGATCCCTGTTGCTGAGTTAAGTAGGTCTGGACTGCATCAGCTCTGAGCCTTGAAGAGCTTCAGCATGATGCTAGAAGAGGAAGAGATAGAGCTTGCTCCGAGGGGGCTCATTTACCCGCTCCTCATAATGGAACTATTACAGCAGCTCTGGTGCACTTCTGTATTAACAGGGCTTTGTTAATTGTAATTTGAATTAGAGCGTAAATAGTTAGCATAGTTTTTCTTGATTAAAATGTTGTCAGTGATTCAAAATTCAACAGAGAAAACTGTTCCATCGATAGCCTTGTTTTAAAGTCCGTGACTGGTTTCTAGCACTACTTTACTTTGAACGCTCACTCCATTTATCTTCTTCATCTAGAAGAACTTAGTAACAAAGTTTAATTGCTGCAACAATGGCTATAGCAGTTTCTTAATCTTCCGTTAAACTAAATTATCAAGCCAGACCGAGGCAAAGACTCAGACACAACCAGCTGCTGCAGATGTTTAACTGCAAGCTCTGACACCAAAATCCAGGACTCAATATTTCCTGTGTCACCATTTAAACCTCCACAGAAGCTGCTGGAGGAACCACTAGGAACAGCAAAGCACAGAAGCATCAACTCCTCACTTCTCTACAGCGATACGGTGCCTGACCAAGACAGACAAAGCAGCACAGCATCCAAATTTACTCCTGATCACTCCAAAGTATAATCCTTGGATATGCCCCAAATATAAATTATCCTGAAATCCTTTTCAAATATAAATTATCCTGAAGCCAGTCTCCTCACACACAACAACCTCTTGATGGGGTATTCACAGAGGAAGATGGACTCACAGTTTAAGTCCTTTCTTACCCTGATAGTACTCAAGAAGTTCACCCTCTGAAGAGGTTCTCTGCCCCTGCTTATGAACTGGAAGGGAAGATGTGAGAGGTGAAGGGCACCTCCTCACCATTTTCTTGCTTTCTCACTGTGGATCAAGAAAAGCAGATCTTGTTGGGGCAGAGACAAGAGAGCACACAGTCAAGGGAGGGGTACTCACTTGGAAAGCAGGTCTCTGCTCTACTGCCAAGGCTTATCTTTTTCACATCACACCCAGTCAAAAAATCAGCCATGGTTTTGACAACAAGACCAGACCTTAGGAGACATCCTTCCTGTGAGTCTCCTGACTCACTCAGGTTTAATCTCTTCTTCCTTAGCCTCCCTCTGCCCAATTGCCCAGCTCTAGTGGGAAGACTCCTCACAAGCAGAAGGCTCCTCACATGGATGAACCAATGAACAACTTCACGTTGGTGATAGCACATCCCAAGAAATGCAAAAAAGGTTTGAAAATCCTCAACAACAAGATCCCAACCCTGATTCAGCCAGACCAGCCCACAGGAGAAACCACATACACTGGCATTTCATGAGGGTCTTACTTTTGCTGAGTTACATGTGCCTGCAACATGCTTCTCTAAAGGGGCCTTTGGGGACCTGGAGATCATCCACTCAACTTCTGCTGCCATGGGGACTTACACAGTGGTTTGGCACTAGGTCCTCAAGCCAGAACAGGCAATAGACTTCAGCAGCACGGAGCCTGCCATGGCTGGTAAAGGGACTCACATAGTGATTTCCACTTGCCTCTGTGCAGGGGGAAGAATCAAGATTTTGGACTCAGAATCTAGTCCAAATGCTTCAAATCTGCTTTAGAGAAGGTTTTCTGTGTGAAGCATGCTTTCCTTTAATCATCTCACAACTTCACCTGGCCTTCCCTCTGGCTCCTGACTGTCCTCCTTGAGCTGTAGACACCAAAACCAGAACACACCATTGCAAACACAACAGCTTCCACACTATCACCAAACAGAGCTCTCATAGACACAGCCCTATTTCTGTCTCTTTGGCTGGACAATTCTACTGATGATAGGGAATACCCATCCTCAGAGCTGCCAGTCGAGGACTTTAGAGCACTGAGAGTGGCACGCAAAGGAAAGAAACCTTCACCAGACACGTAAGTTGAGAAAGAGGCACTTACCCACTTGTTCCAGGTCTCTGGGTCTGAGAGAATCGCCAGTCTGTGTTTGGCTGAGCTTGCTGCAGAGAGAATAGAAGAGTTTTAATACCTCCATTCTTGCCTTTGAAAATGAAAGTGAACTGATCCTGGATTATTTCAGTCTGGAATATCAGCATGTTCTCTCCAAAGTAAAGCAAATCAATTAGAACAAAAAGAAAGCTCCCCCTCCCCCTTTCTTGAGTATTTCTGAACCAGCATGAATACTAAAAAGCATGACAAAAACTATTCAGTGAATAATCTTCCAAAGCAGCTCAGGAAACCAGGCTGTGAAAGAAATGAAGCATGAAATAAACTGATAAGGGCATCAATTCAGCAGAAGCAATGGTACCAAAGTAATGAGCTTGGAGGAGGGTGGGGGTAGCAGAGTTAATTGATACAGAGGAAGATACTTTTAACGCCAGAAGGTAAAATGATAACAGACCTTCTTAATCTGCCCTTCTTCTGTCCTTAAAAATGCCTGCCTGGGATCTTGATTTCACACATTGTATTTGAATGACTTTTCCTATATGCTGTGGCCTCGGAGCATTACAATATTTTTCTGTCCACAGGGAAAAGAATGAACTTCCGACAGCAAAAGAAAAATGCATTATTTGTTTAGGAGACACAGTAAACTTCGGACACAGAAGCACACTTTGTTACTTCATTAGTAAGCCCCCCTATCGCTTTCTGCCTGTGTTATTCCACCATCAGACAATGAACATTTTGTAAATAAGGAAGGACATGAAGCAAGCTGGCATATTCCTGTTTGAATCACGCCTTTGTAAAGAGCACTAAATAGCTGAACTGTTTTCTGTCTGGAAGACACATACTTCCGAAAATCATAATCTTCTTAATTAACTCCAGAACAATAACATGCTACCTGGAAAGGACATTTCTCGCGGTTACCTCAGGAATGAGCAGTCCACAGCCTGTACAGTGGAACATCATTTTTATAGGATTATTCTGCTTGTACATACAATTACTAAGGAAAAGCGAAGATGGGTACAGCTGACCTAGATTTTTATTTAGTAGATGTGATTTCACTAATTTCTCCACAGCTTTGATGATTCTCATGAAAGAATATATTAGAATAAATTACTCCCCTAAAATAGAGGCCCCCCTGGTACCCATGCTGCATGTAAATTAAGCTGTTTAAATACTCACCCTCCAAATTTCAGACACACATTTTTGCACAGTGTGACACACAATCCTGCACTAGATAAGCCCTTTCCAATCTATATTTTGAATTCCTGTTGTAAGTACCACATTCAAATTCAGGGCAGGCATTTATGACACAAAATTACTTTACTTTTTATATCCCAAAGTTATAAAAGCTACAGCTAAATACAGTCACCTACATCCATATTTAGACATTTGAATACAAGGGGCTAAAGTTTTCAAAGCACACCGCTGCCTAGGTCTCTGCAAGCCCAAGGGCATGTAAGGTCACCAGGATCTCTGCAAAAAATGTCACTACGTTCTGTGCTGAAGAGTGAATTCAGCCCCTCACTCAAAATGACCAAGCTGGAAAATGAACATTTGCTGGGGCACAATCAGTGACTAATAACACCTGGGAGTTAACAAGTCAGAAATTTCTACCATGCACCTCTGAAACAGAGCAAAAGAAACACGAGCAACCTTTGCTTTCAGATAACGTCCTCCTGCGTCACGGTTTGTATGTCATGCAGAATAAAGGGGTTAAACAGAATCAAAAAGCTGAACACCCAAACCTCATGACCCTGACTGTGCTAAGAATCACTTTAAAAAGGAAAAGAGTATGAACGGAGCCAAGGAAAAACTCTCCACCTCTACAAACATAGAGTCTTAAATTTTACAGTCCTGCCCAGCCCCTTCCAACAGCTCCATCAAACCAAGCCAAAGCTTTCACCTGCCACCTCTCAGGAGGTGGTGGTGACACACGTTGCCTGAAGCCACCCTCTTAGGTGGAAGGACAGAGAGAGAACAGCCAACTGGCCTGAATATTACAGACAGTTGCGCTTAGCAGACAGGACAGTAAGAAAGACCCATCTCTTACCCCATCGCAGGGACTCACTAAGGTGCTGGTCACCTGCTCATAGGCAGCCATGGTCTCCGCAGTGCTAGAATGGCTGAAAGGTTTTACAAAGAGGAAATCGCTCTGGTCAGACATGGGTGAGAAACAAGAGGTGTAATTCTGTGTCTGGGAGGTCAAGCCCGCTCCTCCCACATCCAGGTACTTGATGAAGCCATCTGGTTTCATCTGTCCACGGAAATGGGAAGCAGGCTTGTGGCCAGTCCCTCGGCAACAACCCGCAAAGGTCCAGCTGGCAGTGCCAGCTTTGAGACAGCGGGCAGCCACCACAGCAAACATGACGCAGGACACAAGGGAAATGGACACCAAGGAGATGATGAGGTAAAGCGTTAGGTTGGTATCCTTGGGAGAAGACTGGGGGAGGTCCAAGGACTTGGCGAAGTCCTGCACACTGTTTTCCTCTGGAGAAATGACTATGACCACAGAGGCTGAAAGGGACGGTGTCCCATTGTCCCTCACTTCGACCACCAGTCTGTGAGGGTCCTCTGACTCCCTGAGAGCCTGTGCCACCCTTATCTCTCCAGAGCGACGTTCCACTTGGAAAGGCAAAGCTTCTGTGGTCTCCTGCAGCTGGTAGGACAGCCAGGCATTATGGCCACTATCAGCATCAACAGCTACGATTTTGGTGACCAGATAGCCAGGTTCTGCCAAGGCCGGGATGGTTTGGTGGAAGGCAGAGCCCTTGGGGACGGACGGGTAGACAATGATGGGAGCATTGTCATTCTCATCCAGCACGAACACATGGACCACAGCAGTGCTACTCAGTGCAGGAGACCCAGCATCCTTCACCTCCACAGGCACCTGAAACACCTTGTCCTGCTCATAGTCCAGAGCCCGCACGGTGTAAACGCTGCCATTGTCCTGGTCTATCCGGAAGTAGGTTGAGATGGGTACATCCTGCATCCCGTTGTCCAGGATGGAGTAAGACAACTTGGCATTGCTACCCTCATCAGGGTCAGATGCTAACACTGAAAAAACAGAAGTTCCAGGAAGGGAGTTTTCCTGAACGTGAGCTGTATCAAAAGGGCTGGAGAAATTCGGTGCATTATCATTAACGTCAGCAATTCGGAGGTAAAAGGTTTTTTGTGTGGCCCTCTGTGGGGACCCTGAATCCACAGCCCTCACTGTGATGTTATATCCGCTGGCCTTCTCCCGATCAAGAGGAGCATTTGTGACCAGTGAGAAATGCTCTTTAAAAGATGACACCAATTTAAATGGGAGCTCTTTCGCTATCTGCAGACGGACCTGCCCGTTGTCACCGGAATCACTGTCCTTCACACCAATGAGAGCAATCACAGTGCCTGGAGCAGCATCCTCCTGCACTGGGCTGGAGAGCGAGGTCAGTACGATCTCTGGGCTGTTATCATTGATATCGATTAATTCCACTCGCAGGTGACAGTGTCCTTCCATGGCTGGGGATCCCTTGTCCCTGGCTCGAACTGCAATTTCGTAAGCACTGGATTCCTCATAGTCCAGTGGGGCTTTGGTTCTGATCTCCCCTGTTTGGGGATCTAAGGAGAACAGCTTGGTGAATTTACCAGGTGCATTATTGCTAGTTTTGAAAGAATATTCCACGTCCCCGTTGGGACCCTCATCCAGGTCAGTGACATTCAACTTAGTGACCAGAGTGCCCACTGGCACGTTCTCCTCCAGATACACCTTGGATATGGGTGGGTCACAGACAGGAGGGTTGTCATTTGCATCCAGGACATGGATAATAACCCTGGCAGTGCCAGATCTTACCGGATTCCCTCCATCCAGGGCTGTCAGTGTTAGGTGATGAACACCCACTTTCTCTCTATCCAGTGCTTTTTCAAGTACAATCTCAGGCATTTTAACACCATCTCCTCTCACTTTGATACTCAGAGCGAAATGCTTGCTGGGGCTGAGCTCATAGGTGGAGATAGAGTTGGAGCCCATATCCGGGTCTTCTGCTACCTCCAAGGGTAGTCGAGTCCCAGGGTTGGCTACCTCAGTGATCTCCAGGACCACCTCCGGCTTGGGGAACTGGGGCGCGTTGTCGTTCACGTCGAGGACATCCACCTCAACACGGTGGAGCTGGAGAGGATTCTCCATGACGAGCTGGAGGTGCAGGGAACACGTGGGGCTCTGCCCGCACAGTTCCTCCCGGTCCAGCCTGCTGTCGAGGAGCAGCACACCTGCTGCCAGGTCCACCTGGAAGTGCCGCTGCCCACCTTCACTCACCAGGCGCAGGTTGCGGGTGGCCAGGCTCCGCACCTCCACCCCTAGGTCCTTGGCCAGGTCACCCACCGAGGAGCCCGGCTGTCGGTCCTCGGGGACGGAGTAGTGGAGCTGGGCGCTGCCGGGAGCCGGCAGGCAGGAGAAGGCTGCGAGCAGCAG